ACGAGAGAGAGAGAGAGAAGAAGAAGAAGAAGAAGAAGAAAGAAAGAAGAAAGAAAGAAAGAAAGAAAGAAAGAAAGAAGAAAGAAGAGAAGAAGAAGAAAGAAAGAAAGAAAGAAAGAAAGAAAGAAAGAAAGAAAGAAAGAAAAGGAAGGAAGGAAGAAAGAAAAGAAGGAAGAAAGAAAAGAGAGAAAGAAAGAAAGAAAGAGAGAGAAGAAAAGAGAGAAAGAAAGAAAGAGAAATGAGGAGGGAGGGGCAAAAAAAGACAAGAAAGATAGCTCAATATCCTGACTTTGATAGAACAGAGTACCACGTGGTCTTCCCTATTTCGACCTCAAAGGTCATAAAAATCTCAGGGGAACTTTCCCTAATTTTTGTTTCTTCTTGGTGCTCAATCTACTCTGTGTTTTACTTTCTTCATCAGTATTCTATCATCACCCCACTTTTGAGCTCAAAGATAAACACAAACTCTTTCGCCTTAATTAAATGATAAAACAGTAGAATACCAGTGATAAAGCAAGTTTCCACTAAAGGTTAGGGGAAAAGAAGGAAACTACACTTTAAACAATATGACTACAATTTAACATTTATTTGAGAATCTAATGTATAGCAGGGTGAATGTAGTTAACAATATTGTATACTGGAAAGTTACTAAGAGAGTAAATCTTAAATATTCTCACCCACCTCCTCCCAGAAAGGTAATTATGTAAAGTGATGGAGATGTTAACTAACCCTACTGCAGTAACCACTTTGCAGTATATAGTGTATCAAATTATGTTGTACCTCTTAAACTTACACATTGTTGTATGTCACTTATATCTCAATAAAGCTACAAAAAATTATATTAATATTGTTATTGTTAAAATCCCTTTGGCTCCCCCTCATTTGAGACATTTTCACTGATTTTGAGAAATGTCCCTGCCCTCATCCAGATTCATGTACCATTTCCCTGCCTTCACTCTTATGCCAAGTCTCCAACATCATTCCCCAGGATCAAAGAAAAAAATAGTCCCCATTAATTTGCAAACAGAGTTGTTGTATTTTCCCCCTTCTCTACCCTACCTATATTCATAAAAGCACCAGCCAACCAAGAGAACTTTATGACAGAGCTCCAGGTTATGTGTTTTGCAGCTCAGAGGAGGAGCAGAAACTTTGGATTTGCAGTTTTTCTTTTTCATGATGAGAGTCTTGGATGTGGTCCCTTCTTCATCAATCTCTGTAAGCAGAAGTAATTATATGGAATTATCTTTCTCCAGGTAGGAATTATTCAGTTCCCCTCAGAAGGGAGAAATGGCAATAGTCCTTTGCAGTTTGAAGAAAAGCAATAATTTCTGTTCAACTGAAGCTCCCCATCACCAGTTTGTCTCCCAGGGATTTGTTTGATGGGTGTGCTCATTGAGAGAAGAACCCTACGGGAAGGACTGCTTTCACTACCTGATTTAAGCAGCTTATTTACACTGTGGGGAGTTCTTCGAGCCATCCTTGATGATGTCCATTGGATTAAAAAGTTCATTCATCATGTAAAATTATTAGAATGGATTAATTTTTCCAAGGCACAGTTCTGATCTTCCCACCTTCCTGAGTCAAGTCAAAACAAAACAAAAGAACAGCCATGGAAAGGTAGTCTAGTGGTGGTACAGTCTCAAAATGCCCAAGTCTCGTCCTTGTATGTTTTCCTCCCTCCTCTCCTAGGCCAAAATAAACACGGTGTGCCCAGGCTGCTCTTAACTGCACTGTGACAACGGTGTCTTTTCTCTGATGACTTATCTTTCCAGTTCTTTACCCTTCCCCCTCCTCCCCCCACCCCCCCGTTGGTAGCATTCAATGTCCTCCAAGTCTCTTCCTCTTTTCCACTATAAATGCTCCACGCAAAGTGCAGGGTTATTTTACACTACAGAGACTGTTAATGATCACAACTATAAATCCAACCTGTTAGGCAGGAGAGTAATTAAACAGGCCTTGTTATGGGAGTGTGTGTGTGTGTGTGTGTGTGAGAAGCATATTTTCCTTTCTTCTTCATCCACGTTAATACTTCTGATAGAAGGACGTACTTTCTAATTGATGAGCCAATGAATATGTCAATTCTTTTGTTTTCCCTGAGAAGTTATTAATAAATGGTTGTTATGCTTTGTAACCAGTGTGAACCTTGCATAGAGTGAGTTTTAATGGAGAAGAGGAGGAGAGTTAGGAGACATTGGATGCTACCAAAATGAGGAAGTGTAAAGAAATAGAAAACAAATGAGAATTAAATTAACACACTGAGGCTGCACCTGACAATCAGCAAAATGCTGGAAGCAAGAAATACTTTACTGTGAGAGGCATGAAGTTTCATTCACATCCCAAACCATTTGTCTCTCTGTTTCCCCACTGTTTTGAAATCTAAGAGTAATGGAAGTCATGTAGATAATGCTGTTTCTTGACAAAGGTTAATTCAAATCAGCGGTACTCATGAACTCTTCACTTACAACCTTCTGGTATGTAACCTTGGGACCTCACTGATACAATAATACTGTTTTGAATTAAAATTCACCTGACTTGTACAAGTTGTATACATGTCTTGGATTGAACATTAACACTTAGGTGGTGTTAATATTAAAGCATAACATAGTCAAACCTCTGAAAATTGGAGTTCAGATTTTCTGCTGAGACCATTACAACCAAAAATCCGTTACACAATTAGAATGCCTCACGATAAAAATAAGGAAAAGCCACTGTTAAGGTAAAAATGTTAAAGGCTTACTTTTCCATTAACACTGATTATATCAACTCTGTAAACATAGAGGAGGAATTTCCACAACAGGACACAGGCAGGTCCTGGCAATTTTTACGTTTTTATTTGCAACTAAAAGCATATTTCAGCCATCAGAGCTTCGTGTGGTCTAATTCAAATCCATGGAGCAAAGTAGGGAGTGAAGACAGTACCCAGATTAACAAAATATCAAAGGTTTATGTGGCTACCCAGATGTCAGAAGCAAAATTAAAGTTTCCTCTGTTTGATAGGAAATGTTTCTGGTCTTGGGCTTATGGGTAATTTTGCTTTCCCCTTTTGCTTTTTGGGTGATTTCCTTACTTTCCACAATAGGTAGCTATGTTTTGGGCACTACGGACAGAACTTTGTGCCTCTGCCTTCAATGAGTTGGTCATCTACAACAGCTGACTGGCATCCAGACACACATAGAGATTCTTTAAAATAAGTGAGGATACGCGCATGGGAGAGAGTACCAAGGGAGCCTGCTTCCTGCAGGAGCTGGGAGAGAGGACAGCAGGGGACGGGAGTCAGGGAAGGCTCCGCAGAGCAAGACAGGCATGAACTAGACCCTGTGGAAAAGACTGGCTTTGTAGGGGTGGGGTTTGGGAAGACCACTGAGAAGGGAGGAGAAGCAGGACCAACAGAGAGAAACTGTCTCCCCAGGTCTTCCTGGGGACACTTCAGGACAACTGACAGAGTCTAACAAGAGCAGAGTCTAGAATCTCTAACTAAATTTTTACCTTCTTTCTCTCATTTGTGCTGGTCTTAAGTTTACCATAGTCTCTGAGTACAGGGGTTATGAACTGGCCAAAATGAAGGCGAGACAGAGAAGATAAAGTTGAAGACCACGGACGATTTATTAATTAGCAATAACTCCATTTTCTGAGGCCTGGAGTCCAGAGAGAATCAACTATATATTCGGGGGTGCTCCACGGTAAGCTCACATAATAGCTTATTATTGATCAGAAAAAAAGAGAATCAGGAAGCTCGAGACACTAAAAGACTCATCCTAACCCCCTAAGGTGTTATTATTCCATGTTCCAGATGAAGCTCAGAAAGGTTACATGGCTTGTCAACAACACCGCAGCTCACTTAAGCCTGAGCCAGCTTGAGCAAAGGTCTCCTGATTCCTAGTTCTTTGCTCCGTTTCCTCCACACCCACAGCCTCGGGGAATTGCAGGTCCACATGCTGCACCCTCCCTTACTCGGAAGCAAGACACCCAGGAGGGTTGTGCTGGCATTTTACAGATTCTGCTGCACTAATTAAAAATGCTGAGGTTGTAGACTTGTATCGCTTCTCCATTTCCCAGTAATGTTTAACCTTAAGTTAAAAAAAAAATCTAGGCGATTAAAGAGTGTGTTATCTGGCGAGTCCATTCCACCTCCAGTAGTAATTAGTTTCAGAACACACCTGAATTCTTTCTCTGTGGCATATGCTTTTTAGTGAAGGAACAGGCAGCTCCAGGCCAGGGGCAGATTTCAAGTTCTCATCTCTTGGTACCGAATTCCTCTTTGCCGTCAACTTTTGAGATCCTCCCTGAGTACAACTTGGTGTCTGAAGGGCTACACAGGTGCACGGTCATCATTCGCGTCACAGAGTCACAGCCTCTTCTCCCAGCAAAGCATCTGCTGTCCTCAGCTTTGCTTTTAGAAACAGCATCTTCCTGGGACCTGGTTGAAAGCAACTCTTTGGTGCCATACTTCCCAGCATGGAGGTGAAGACCTTCTCAGTTTGGGATTATGTCGTATTTGCAGCCCTCTTTATCATTTCTTCTGGAATTGGGGTGTTCTTTGCCATTAAGGAGAGAAAAAAGGCGACTTCAAGGGAGTTTCTGGTTGGCGGTCGGCAAATGAGCTTTGGCCCCGTCGCGCTGTCTCTGACAGCCAGCTTCATGTCCGCTGTCACTATCCTGGGCACCCCCGCCGACGTCTACCGCTTTGGGGCATCCTTCTCCGTCTTCTTCATTGCGTACACATTTGTCGTCATCTTCACATCAGAGCTCTTCCTCCCTGTGTTCTACAGGTCCGGCATCACCAGCACCTATGAGGTAAGACAACTACTTCATTCTTCTTTATTTCGGGACAAGTTGCTTTTGCCTCTCCTCTTGAACATCTTTTTGTTATTCTTGCTTTTTTTTCTAATAATACACATCACCATGATGATAACATATCGTAATTGAATAACATTCACTTATTTTCAGGACAATTACACATCATGGGAAAAAAATATGGCCATGTTATTGGAAAAGCTTAAGCTTTGGATACAGACGACCTGTTCTTCCATCTATAGAAGAAAAATAACAAAGTCAAGCCCACAGGGCGACATCAGTAATTAAATGAGAAGCTGTAGGTGAACACCTAATGCATTGCCTAACTTGTAGGAGATTCTCAATGAAAGAGAGCTGACGTTATTCCTGCTATTATTATCAACATCCTTCTGAAACCTATACCATAAATGTTGTTATTTTCCTGCAGAGAACACAGAGCTAGAGATAAATGACTTAAGATTGTACAGTGGATTGTACAGTTTTAATAAAGTGGTTCAGTTACTACAGTAAACCAATTGCAAATATGTAACTCAGGAGATGTGAGACAGTGCAGGTATAGGACACATTGGGACTGCATTGCACTTAACTTAAAAAGTCTGTGGCCCTTTACATATTTTTAAATTTTCAGATACCTGTGCAATTTTTAAAAGCAAGCATGAAGCATGCAGTTTGTCTGCTGGACTTCCATTTTTACTTTTGACTGAAGTACTAGCTACACACCTACCAGAGAGGACCACTGAGTGAGTGAGTGAGTGATTACCATCTTTCGGGTGTAGAATTACATCGGAATTCAGAACGCAGCTGGAATAGTCTCCTGCTTCATGGGTGAGAAAACTGAGGCTTAGATTACAAAGTGAGGTAGTGGTGGGGGAGGGTATAGCTCAGTGGTAGAGTGCATGCTTAGCATGCACAAGGTCCTAGGTTCAATCCCCAGTACCTCCATTAAAGAAAAAAAATTAAAAATAAATAAATAGATAAACCCAATTATCTCCCCCACAAAACAAACAAGCAAAAAACAAACAAACACAAAACAGAGTGAGACAGTGGCAAATTTCAAACTAGAATTCAAAAAGTGTTACTTCTGATATAGTTTTTTTTCCATATATATTTTTATTAATACTGTCTCTCTAGTTTGACTGAATTGACAGAATTTAGAAGAACAAAACCATTGACTTTTTCCAGATTCCTCTGGCAGTTTCCTCGCTGCCTTTCAATTTTTCAGAAACAATTTCTCCTTCATGTGTCATCTAGTCCTAAAGCCAAAAGCACATATTTTGAGTTTTGTTACAACGTTTCTCCACATCTGATACCAATTTTATATCAGTTATCTATTACTGTGTAACATACCATACCCCAAAATAAATGTCTTAAAACAACAATTTTATTTGCTCCCAATTCTGTGGATCAGTAATCTGGCCTCAGCTCAGTAGGGTCTAGTAAGACAGTAAGGTCCTTCTGTCAGTCTTCCATGGGACCATCTATGTGACTGCCATCAGCTAGTGGGTTGGTTAGTTGGTTAGTGGCTCACTGGTCTAGGGGAACTCAGATAGCTTGTCTATACCACACGCAGTCTCACCTTCCAGTATGTTATCCTAGTTTCTTCGTGTGATGAGGAAAGAATCCTTGTCAACAAGAGGACAGGCCTCATTACACAAGCAATTTTGAAGTCTCCACTTGTGTCGTATTTAGTAAAAATATCACCATCTTAAAGTTGTGTTCTCCCAGAAGCAAATCCTGAGACGGAGTTGAACGCAAGTCATTTTGGAGGGAAATGATTTTATTAAGCTCTGGTAGGCAAGTAAGACATGGGGAAAAGCGAAGCCAATAAAAGTTGTGTTTTTGAGCAGCTTGTTTCTGTGAGCAACGGAGGTTCAATCTCACTGGGGATCTCTGGGAGACAGTACAGATCACGTATCAGGACTGTCCTCCCTGAGATGAAAATAACTGGAATTTTTTTCTGTCCAACTTTCCTTCTGTCATTGGCTGAAAGCCGATGATAACACCCCCATGCACTTCTAGCTTGCCTTGTGCAAGGGCTGGGATCATCAAGCAGATAATCACAGTGCATTTAGATGCTATCAACCTGTCTTGGGACAGAGAGTGCCAGTAAGCTACAGGGGTCACACCCACAGTGACTACAGCAGTCACTGAGATCCTACTCTATTCCTGTCCCTGCAGTTGGCATTGTCAAATGCTCCACCATTAGATCCTGCTACTGTCAATTTTAGAAAGAGAAAGCCACCGTTCAGTGCAATAAACTAATCTTTCCAAGGGCGTGTGATTTGAACCCAAGTTGTCCTCAACACAAAAGTTCTGCTCTGTTGTTCATCTTATGGTAGCCGAGACTTTTGGATCCTCAGTGACTTCCTTACTTCTTTAGAAATATTCCTCCTACCAGGTGCCCTCGGTCACACATCCACTGGATTATTACCTGACTCATGGTATATTGAATGTATCATCTGAAGAAAGAGGGTCCAAAAGTAAGGTGACTCTTTCCTTGGGGGAAAGGTTGAGTGAGTAGATTACTGTGAAACTGAATGAGAATTCGGGCAAGAGGAGTCCCTTCTAAGGTTTCAAAGAAGGGCTCCACTGAAGCCATCAAACAACACTTACTTATGTATTATTTCTAGGAAAACGACAAATCAGTGGTTAATGCCTGGCTTCATCGAAATTATATTTCTTAAATTAGATAAGAAAGAACTACTGCCCATTAG